GGGGGGGGGGGGGGGGGGGCGCTCACCGATCGTTCTTCCGGAACTCACTCGTTCCGTTGTGCCTTACGGGCCCTCTCTCTCTCGAGCCTAACCAGCAGCCGCACAGCGGCACATGATATAAGCAGTATGGCATTACCGACAGACAGCATAATGCGAGAATTCTCGCCCTTCATTGAAGTCCAGACGAGATGTAGCAAAACCAGACGTGTGCTCCAGCTCATCTTTCACCACGTCCGCTTATGTCTTTAGGTAATCATGCCAACGTCTTTGTCCGCCTGTCTGGAGGCGTTGGTGTGTCGTTTCTAACACCCAAGCCTCCGCCCAAATTAGTGTTGCGCAGGGTGTGATTTGGGAATGAGGGTCATTCCCAGCCCACCGAAGAGATCACAAAATCACTGCAAAAGCGGGTGTATATGTTGCATCTATGGAAGCGTCCTATATGCGGCTGTTTTGGGTTGATGCTTACTCTGTCGGGACGAACGTTTCCTTTTCATGGCAATGACCTTGACGCACAGGTGAACACTGCTCCCAACGCCAGGGTCAGTGGGTCAGATGGTCGAGCAATCATCACACCAATGTCCAACACCCGTGATGAACTTGCAGTAATTAACGACGCGAATGTCGGCCATCAAGCCAAGTGCGACGATCGCTGATGAAAGGGGGAACCGTGAATATTCACAAGTATGCGGTAGCATGGCGACTGCATCCTATGATTGCTTCAGCCCCTTGTGCATGAACCACCCGTATCTGCTATTGTCTCTGATGATGGATTCGAGCAGGAATCCGAAACGTCAGGCGAATAGAGCTCTTGGCCCAGCGATCGTGTCTCCTTCTTCACACCTCAAAGTTATTTGCGCCAATTTAACTTCCAATTCTTACGGGTTCTCCTAGGAATATGGGTGTCTGATGTCCCACGTCTTTATCCTGACCACTCTGCTCTTGCCAGCGAACGTATTTGATCGAGTCTGTATAGATTTTGTGTCTTTGGTTCATTGCCGCGCCCCGGGAGAGGGGGGTCTGTTCTTTGCATAAGGGACGCTAGCTACTGCGGCCGCTAACAGCCTCCTCTGGTTTCTTCTCCCCCATAGCTGGATACCACACTGAATCAACTGGTGGATCACCTGCTGGGTTTCGTGGACGGTGGCCTTCGTCAGTACGACAGCCAGTGTGCCTCCTTCTTCGGCCTGCTGCGTGGCTATGCGGACAGCTGCGCCCATGCGAGTGTCCACCTGAGCAACCTGCTGGCCACATCGCGTCTCCTGAGTCTTCTTATCGATGAAACGACCGCCTCGGAAGACACCGCCAGAGTCTCCGATGGCACCTGTCTCTCTGTCCCCATTGCGCGCCCCTCTAGCCTTTCAAAGTCGGCGGTGGCGGCGGCAGAGAACACCCTCATCTTTCCTACTTGGGTGCGTGCGCGAGCGCCTACTTGAATGCGAATTTCCGTGTTAAGTTTGTTTGCTGACTCCGTTTTTCTTGTGTTTAACTCCTTTCCGCCCCTCCTCCCTTATTTATTCAGTTGGTTGCCGGTCTCTGTTCTTCTACCTCTTAGCGTAGCCCTTATGGCGTTCGTGCGTATGTGAGACGCAAGCCGGTCGTTGCGCCGAGGAGCATTTCATGGCAACCAGGTCGTGCATAGTCCGCGTAGACGGTCTGTTCTGGCTCCGTCAACCACTGCGTCCATTTCCACCACCAGATGGTTAGCAGGACGGTGGGTCGCGCGTGAATTAGTTTATTGTGATGGCAGACTTGCTCCGCATCTACCGCACTTCCCTTCCTCACCCACTTGGGCTCGGTGGCAGGACGACTGGCTGTGCGTTCGGGCTTAGTGACTGTCAAGGCCAAATAGCCCGTCTACGCGTACCATACACGACCTGGTCACCTCATAATGGACCAGACCCCACAGAGGCGAGGAGGCGGCTTTGATCCCATCTGGGTGAAATGGTCATAGAGGCTGCATTAACAAGGTCGGACTCTCGCTTCCGGGGGGACCGGTAGTTGGCAGCCCCTCAGGTCACAACATTCTGCGCGTCGTGATAGGTTCGATCGCGTCAGATTTACTATAGAGAGGAATGCACCAGAGACGACCTCACCCTCTCCCTCTATCAGTCGACTGTTCCAGCCGGTCAGACATCTGACGACAGGAGTGGGCTAAGGTGGTCGGCACGGCGTGAGGCCTGCGCCTAGGTGTGCCATCGCACACACCCCCCCCCCCCCAA